AGCCAGTGCATTTTCTGAAATTCTGGGTCTGTCGTGCCTTCAGGAACTTCCTTCCCCCTGCTTCCTGCCTTCCTGCGTGGAGGTGGGGAAGGAGTAGGAGTCCCAGGACTGCACGCCAGATCCATCTTCTCAGGAAGCACGCATTTCTCCTTCACTCCCCATAACAGCTGCGCACATCCTGAAAAGTTGGAGCTGGCACGCAGACCTGGGACTCCTACTTCCTCCCCCGTCCCACGCGCAGGAAGGCAGCAGGGGGAAGGAAGTCCCTGGTGGTATGATAGACCTGGCTGTTTGGAGGAGAAGAGTAGCCCATGTTTCTTCCTGAGACCCTGGACCTGGCGCGCATCTGTGGGATCCCCAGATACCAGCTGAGCTGTCCCTGTCCCCTCTCCTCACCCAGACCCCCACGAATACCCTGCCCCAGCCCCCACCAGCACCCTGCCCCTGCCCCCTGGCTAGACCCCTACCAGCACCCTGCCCAAACCCCCACCAGCACCTTGCTCCTGCCTCCTGGCCAGACTCCCACCAACACCCTGCCCAGACCCCCATCAACACACTGCTCATGATCCTGCCCAGACACCATCCAGCATCCTGCCCTTGCCTTGTGGCCAGACACCCACCAGCACCCTGCCCTTGCCCCCTCCTTCCTGGCCAGACACCTACCCCCAGCTTGCTCCTGTACCCTATTTTCCAGCCAGATTCTGAACCCTCCCTATCCCACTTACTGGCAGCCCTGTCCTACTCACTGGATTCCTCATTTCTGGCCCCACAGATTCCACTAACCCTGGAACCCCAGAAGAGTTAATCTGGCTTGGGGCTGGAGTGCCAGGGGAGTGAGGTGTCTCAGTTGGGGCCACATTAGTGAGGCTTGGGGGTCTTTTTTTTTTCAGAGAGAGAGATGGGTTTTTTTGCATCTCACTTGTGTGGCCCTGACTGATTTTTCTGTGGGTCAGTGACCCCTGACTCAAAACAGGTTCCCCGCCCCTCTCATAAATAAAGAGAATGCTGAAACATTTTGTGTTTGACATATTTTATTTAAAAATGAAGCCTGGCCAACAAGCTCCCAGCTGGGGGCCAAGCCCCATCTGGCTGCAATATCATAACACTACTGTACCACCCTTACATCCACAAGCCTGCGGCTGGCTCAGCACCCCAACCCTCTACCTGACCCCAACACTCTCCAGCCTGGAGCCCCCTCCGTGAGCCAGCATCCCCTTCTCCACATCCTCCTGCTGCACCCAAATTCCCTCCCAGAGCTTTCACCTCTCATCCCTTCCCACACCCAAATCCCTCATTCCAGGGATGGTCAGGGATGGTGTAGACGGAGCTTGGTCCTGCCTTGAGGGCGGGGGGCTGGAGTCGATGACCTCTTGAGGTCCCTTCCAGTCCTATTATTCTATGATTCTATGATTCCCACCCCAGAGCACGCACCTCCTGTCTCAACCAACTGAGAGTGAGTAAGGGCTGGGGATAGCAAATGATGGAGATGAGGAGAACAGAGAGGGCAGGGCCTCAAGGAAGGGGTAGGGTCTAGGGGAAGGGCGGGTTAGATCTTGGCTTGTCCTGACATTTAAAAAGTGATCTTGGGTGTAAAAAGGTTGGAGACCACTGTGTTAGAGCATTCCAAACAAACTGCAAGTGATAGAGAAGCCCTGCTACGAGTGCCGCTAAGAGGGAATACAATAATAATTGAGTCTCACAATCAGGAAGGCATGTGCAACTGTGGCAAAGCTGCCACCAAACAAACAAGGCTGTAGAATATGTAAATTGTGCTACACCTACCAAAAGGTTTTCCCTGGAAAGAGCGCAGCAGCTGAAAGTGGTGCAAAGATTCCTAACTTGACTTAGTCTTCCTAAGTGAATCACCTCAACTTAGCACATGAAGGGAAAGTCAGTCATATCAATGACCTCTGCTTAACCAGGGCTCAGGAGGAGGTAACTGATGATAATATCACTCACTATTCATAGGAGGATGTGTTTAAACTAACAAGTCACACTCATCATGTTTCTTCTGCATGCTAGTGATTCACATCTATATCTCTAGCCCCATTGACCCTGCGTGGACTACGTCTGTTCTGGAATAGTGTTATTAGGCGTAATAGGCACTGTCTAAACATCTTTGGCCCAAGGATCTTATAACCTAAATAGACAAAACACACAAAACTCAGGGTAGGAGGACAGAGAAACAAAGTGACTTACCTAGATTACATAGTAGGTCAGCAACAGAGCCAAGAGTAGAATTCAGGTCTTCTGAATCTCTGTTCAGTACTCTTCCCACTCGATTATACTGGATCAATGAACCTTGCACAGATCCAGTACTGCAATTCCTATTTTCCTGTCTTGTCTGACAAGGATGTCACGAAAATCAGTTGCAGAAACTACGAAAGGGGTAAATCAGTCTAAATTAAGAACATAAGAATGGCCATACTGGGTCAGACCAAAGATCTGCCTGCTGACAGTGGCCAATACCTGATGCCAAGTGTTTTTAATCTCTCTTCATATGGGACCCGTTTCAAACCCTTCATCATTTTTGTTGCCCTTTTCTGAACCTTTTCCAATGCCAAGATATATTTTGTGAGCTGAGGAGACCACATCTGCACACAGTATTCAAGATGTCTTATTTTATTTATTTTATTTTATGTCTTATTCTCTATCCCTTTTTTTAACAATCACCCAATCTCCCCTATTGGGAGTTCTCCAAGAGGACAACTTCGAACCACTGCAATGGGATCTTGTCTCACTGCCACGGTCCATGGGCAATTCAACAGGACCTCTTGACCAATAAAGTGGCTGTTTTCAGTCACAAGATCCCAGAACCTCTACCCATTGTAAGATGCCTAGACAGTTGCTTCCCATCTTGTATGTATGGAACTGATTGTTCCTTCCTAAGTGGAGCACTTTGCATTTCTCTTTATTAAACCTCATCCTGTTTACCTCTGACCATTTCTCTAACTTGCTAAGGTCATTTTGAATTATGTCCCTATCCTCCAAAGAAGTTGCAATCCCACCCAGTTTGGTATCATCTGCAAACTTAATAAGCGTACTCTCTATCCCAATATCTACATCATTGATGAAGATATTGAACAGTACGGGTCCCAAAACAGACCCTTGAGGAACTTCACTTGTTATCCCTTTCCAGCAGGATTTAGCACCGTTAACAACAACTCTCTGACTATGGTTATCCAGCCAATTATGCACCCACCTTATCGTGGCCCTATCTAAGTTATATTTGCCTAGTTTATCAATAAGAATATCATGCGAGACCGTATCAAATGCCTTACTAAAGTCTAGGTATATGACATCCACCGCTTCTCCCTTATCCACAAGGCTCGTTATCCTATCAAATAATTACTCCCAAGCCATTTTGCCAGTGCTGCAGCTAGGGAGCATGGTTTAATGTAAACTATTAAACAGATTAAGCATTTTAACTTTCTCATGTTAGTTTATCGAACTTCATTTTAAATAAAGTAAAATATTAATTTATATCCAACAGAAAAGATTTCAATGCTTTCTTTATTTATGGCAGGGGTGGGGAACCCTTTTTGGATGTGGGGCCACTGACCCACAGAAAACTCAGTCAGGGACCGCACAAGTGAGAGGGAAAAACACACCTCCAAAACCCACATCACTCACTGATGTCGCCCCCAAATGAGAAACCTCACTCCTCTGGCAGTCCAGCCCCCACAGGGTGAGGGCAAGGGACAGGGAGGACTGAGGTTCAGGGTTTCCCATAGGCCAGATTTACCCTACTGGGTTCTGGAGTTAGTGAATTTTATGGACCCCCTTTAGCCCTGGAGTGGGGACAAAAATGAAGGGTTCAGTGTGTGGGACAAGGCTGCCAGCGAGTGGGATAGGAATGTGGGGCAGAATCTGAAGTGTGGTGCAGAAGAGGGAGAGGTTGTGAGATCTGGATGGGAGGTAAGGGACAGACGCAGACTGGGAGTAGGGTATCTGGCCAGGGGGAAGGAATATTAGCAAGGGAGGGTGCAGTGTGTGGCCAGGAGGGAGGGAACAAGAAGCAATGGTGGATGTAGGAGAATGGTGGAGGTAGGTGTCTGGCCAGGGAGAATGTGCTGGAGCAAGGGAGGGTGCAGAAGCAGGCTGTGGGTAGGTATCTGACTCGGAGGGAGTGTGCAGGAGAGGGTTTGGGGTAAGGTGTCTGACCAGGAGGGAGGGTGCAGGAGCGGACTGGGGGTAGGATGTCTAGCTAGGGGCAGGGAGATGGGGTCAGGGGGTGTCTGGGGATAAAGCTGGGGGGCAGAGTGGCTGAGGGGGTCCAGGGAGATGGGAGGCAGGGTGTTCCTGGGAGGAGGGCTGGAGTCAGGGTGCCCCAGGGGGAGGGGGCAAGGAGGCTTGGCATGGCGAGGCAGGGGTGGGTGACCCTGGGGTCCAGACCCTGGCACCATCGGGGGCGAGCACTAAGGCAGCTTGGCTCAGTCTCTGCGGGTGCAAAGCCCAGAAGGGCCCCAAGCCCCCACCTGTATCCTGCATGTGCAGGCTCCTCAACCCCAGTGCTGCCTCCTCCCACTGCCACTGGGTGTGGTGAAGTCTAACCTGCTACCAGGGAAGAGCAAGGGCACCTGCTGCTCGCACACCAACCCACCCAGCCACACCCTGCGTGCACCAGCAGCACCGCTGTTACCATGGCGACCACAAGCCCAGTGGGGCCTGGGTGAGGTGGATGCCCAGCAGGGCTCTTGTACATTTCAAAGACTCAGGCACCACAGGGAGCGCAGGACAGTCCCTTGCTGGCCCAATGTTCCCTGTAGGGCTTTTGCTTATGAAATGTACAAGAGCCCTGCTGGGGAGCTTATGCATTTCAAAGGCTCAGGTGCTGCAAGGATCATGGGCCCAGTTCCCCACCGGCCCTGCACTCCCTGCGGGGGCTTCCACTTTTGAACTGTAGCAAGAGCCTAGCCGGGCTCTTACTACAGTACAAAGGTGGAGGCACTGTTATAGACTAATCGAATAGTCAATGGAAATTCCATTGACTATTCAATTAGTTAATTAATCTAAATTCAACATCCCTAGTTTCTAGGTGCCACGGTCTGCAATATATCTCCAATGAATATATTGGGAGTAGAATTGGGCCCTAAAATATTACGTGATCTTTGATCAGCTTGAATCAGCATCAAATGACTTCTGAGTGCCCGGGTCTTGTGGAGTCTGGGCAGAAGATTGGCTGTGTAAGACAAAGAAATAAGGTTGGTTTTATATCATAATGTTCTTAGGAGAGGGAGCAAAGTGAGTCTTTGAGAATTAAAGCAAAGATGGAAGAGGGGAAGGCATATGAAAATTAAAATTAAAAGGGGATCACAAATTTTTGAAAATAACAAGTCTGTTGGCTTCAAATCTTTATTCTATCAAATTTACTAGTATGGTGGGAGTTAATTTTGCCTGCTTTCCATATGTAGGATTTTGCCATGCCAGTGGAGATGAAAACAGCATTTTTATTCAGTGGATAAAAAGCCCTGTGGGTATTAAAGAGAGCTGAGTTAATAATTTGCAGTGAAGAACATATTCAAAACATTTACCTTCTTTTATAGCGTGTGGAATAGCTTTGAGTAAGGATGTTAAGAGGCGGGTAATTGGGTAACTGTGTAGTTGATACAATTTGTATCGAGTACACTATTAGTCAATAAGGGAAGGTGCTCAGAAGGAGCTACTCCCGCTGTAGCTCTGCAGTTTAAGTGTAGTAAGAGCTGGGCCCACAGCAAGCCTGGCTTCTACTACATTTAAACTGAAGAGCCACAGTGGGGGTAGCTCCTGGACCTGGTGCAAGCCAGGACTGAGCCAGGTTTGCTCTGTTCTGGCTCATGCTGGGTCTGTGGTGGGTCCAGGCAAGCAGCACCACAGAAATGGTGACAGAGGCAGCAGCACAGGGGTGGTGTTGGAGGGCAAGTAATACCGGCTCCTGCTCCCTCCACCCCTACCCCTTGCTGCCTCTGATATAGAGGCAGCAAGGGGGGCAGGGGTGAAAATGTGAGTAGTTGACTACCCAATAAGCTTGGGCTTATTTGGTAGTTGACTAATCAACTGCTCTTTTACATCTCTAACTGTGAGAAGATTGTGGTTTCCTCAAATGGATTTATCATTCAAATTTGATCAATGAATATCTTTCATTGTTTACTCTAGGGATTGATTTAATTGTGTCTGGAGAGATTATATGGTGGTGTTTCTGTTATCTCTTTCGATGAGCCTTGTTACTTACTGATTTTTTTTTTTTTTTTGCATTACAGGCAGTCCCCGGGTTACGTACAAGATAGGGACTGTAGGTTTGTTCTTAAGTTGAATCTGTATGTAAGTCAATGAATATCTTTCATTGTTTACTCTAGGGATTGATTTAATTGTGTCTGGAGAGATTATATGGTGGTGTTTCTGTTATCTCTTTCGATGAGCCTTGTTACTTACTGATTTTTTTTTTTTTTTTGCATTACAGGCAGTCCCCGGGTTACGTACAAGATAGGGACTGTAGGTTTGTTCTTAAGTTGAATCTGTATGTAAGTCGGAACTG